TTTTTCTCACTAACTGCCGTATTGCCTCATCATTTTTTATTGTTCTCATATAAATCATAACCACCTAAACATAAAACGAAATTATTATTTTTCTTGTGTGGAATTGATTTCGCCAATACTTCAAATATTATATTACATCAATTTAATACCTTAATTGCAGACAATACTACACTTCCGTTTACATGTTGAAATTGTGGAACAACACGTTCAACAATATGTTCAGCTTCTTTAGAGTCTGCAGGTTTATATTCAGCCAGTGCAGTAAGAATAGCTATCCGACCCCATCTTAAGTTATTTAGAAATATTTTAAAACATTTAACACAAAAATTTAAATGTTGTTTCAAGAAAATATATAAGAAATCAAACGTACTCTGTACATTCATTAAGAGCCACCAATAACTTTGTAAGTGTTGGTGCATTGATTATAAAAATATCTTTGGTAGAAGAAGATTCATTTATTTCTGCAAGTGCTGTAACAGCATTTGCAACCACCTAAATAATATAGAATAATTGTAAGGGAGGCTCAATGACATTTAAATAAAATATTAACAAAATAATCTACAAATATAAAGATGATAAAGTCACGTACCATCGGATTGGCATCCGATACCATATCTTGCAAAACCGAAACAAAACCATTATCTGTTGCTAAACTAGGGCTTAAATCATATAACTTTGCAACACATAAAGCCGCAGTTTTTCGCACATAAGGATTCTCATCCTAAACATAAAGAAAATACATATATTAAAAATACACATATATAATTGAAATATGAAAGAATATAATAAATAGAGAAACATACCCTTAGACACTTCCTCAAAGGTTCACAAAGATAATCAATAATTTTTTCAACGCGGATACATCCCATGGTTCGAATGGCGAGTGCACGAATCAATGGGTTGCTGTCATCTGTATCCTTTATATACGCATTGAAAATTAGAAAAGTTATAATATCCAATGATCCATAACATGAAAAAACAACTTACCTTTACAAAAGTATTTACGGCTAAAATTACTAATTCTGGTTGTGTCTTTGCGTAATTCATTAAATATAAAT